GATCCCCGCGCGCATGCGCGCCGCCCGCCCCGGGAGAGCCCGCGCAGGCGCAGCAGGGCGGACTCGCGTCGGTACAGTAATAAAAGTTTATTGAGAACGGCTGCGTGGTGCGGCGCTCCCTCCGCGCCGGCGGGGCCGCTGGGACCGCGCGGCCTCACTTCTTGCCCCGGATGAGGCTGTCGCTGCGGGAGAGACAGACGCGGCTGCGGCCGGGGGGCGTGGGACCCCGGGTGGGGGTTCGGGGGGACCCCGGGTGGAGGGAATGGGGGACCCCGGGTGGGGGAGCGGGGTCACCCCGGGTGGGGGTTCGGGGGGACCCCGGCACCGGCCGGTGCGCACCTACCTGCCCCTGCGGACGGCGGATCGCCAGGAGGGAACATGGAAGAGAAAGAGGAGAACGGGTGACCCCGCGGCCGGCGCCCCAAACCCCGCCCTGCCCCCCCACCTGTCACCCCAGCCGCCCGGGAGGCTGAGATCGGAGGATCGCAGTTCGAGGCCAGCCCGGGCAGGAAAGTCCCTGAGACTCTGATCTCCCATGAACCCCCAGAAAACCGGGAGTGGCGCTGTGGCTCGCGTGGTAGAGCGCCCGCCTTGAGCTGAGGAGCCGAGGGACAGCGCCCAGGCCCCGAGTTCAAGCCCCTTGGCCTCCCCCCATCCCAAGATCAATGCTGGGGGCTGCAAGACAGAAAGCGTGAGCCAACCCTCTCCCCCTCCCCAGCAAGAATAGACTTGAACCCAGGCCCCACACTATTAGCGGCCAAGTCTCGGGCTTTCCCGCGCGGTGCTGGCGGGGCCTGGCCTGCTGCTGGGATCACAGGCGTCTGCACCGCACCACCCCGCACCACCCGTGTCACACTGGCCGGGGCACAGGCCAGCGGGGCAGCTGCGGCGCGGGACGCGCGGGCGTCTCACCGAGTGAAGCTTTCGTCCTGTAAGTTCAGCACGAGGTTGTCTGCGGTGAGGAAGATCCGGTTCTGCGAGGTGGCGATCTAGACAGGGGGGGGGACAGGCGGGCGCAGGGCTGGGGTGAGGGGCTCACGGGCACCCCAGGCGCGGGGGGGGGGCGGCCACGCCCGTCACCCCAGCTCCTCAGGAGGCTGAGATCCGGGGAAATCACGGTTCAAAGCCAGTTGTGGGGCAGGAAAGCCTGCGAGACTATCTCCAATGAGCCAGCCAAAAGCTGGACGTGGAGCGTGGTTCAAGTAGTAGAGCACCAACCGTGAGCAAGCAGGCGTCTGGTCCCAGAGCACACACGTACACACAAACCCCAAAACCCAGACCCCAGAGCTGCGGGTGCCTCGGACTGGCCGCGGACCAGCGCACAGAAAGCGACTCTCCGGATGGCTCACCGTCTTGGAGATGTTCTGGGCGGCCCTGATCTTCCGTAGCTTGATGTAGCCCGGATTCTTGCTCAGGGCTTCTCCGAGGTGAGGCTGGAGTTAAGGTCCACGCCGGCCGGGCTGCGGTGGGGGGCTGGGGGGCGCCCCCCCGCCGTGGGCTGTCAGATCCACGCGTGCGCTCACGGCCTGTGCCCGCCCCGTCTCAGCCTCCCTCTGTGGGCCTCCCCGCAGGCCGCTGCCAGCATCTGGGGTGACAGCGGGGAGGCGGGGGAGGCCCGGGCTGCTGTGGATCGGGCCTTAGGGTGTGTGTGGGGGGTGCCCACGCCTCAGGACCCCCCCCGAGATTTCCGATCGCCCCCCACCCCACACTAGGAGCTGAGGGGCGCAGGGCACAGAGTCGCATTCGCCTTGGCCTCATCAGCCAGCCTTGTGGGAGGGCGGAGGGGGGCGGGCGGGGCGCGGAAGGATATCATCTTGGCGGCCTCGGCCTCGCCCTCGGCCTGCACGATCTTCTGCCTCTGCTCCTGCTTGGCTTTCTCCACTAGGAACTGGGCGCGCTGGGCTTCCTGCTGGGCTGTGGGGAGGGGTGTGGAGGGAGGGTCAGGGGGGACCACAGCCCCCCCCCCAGCCGCTGGCCGCTGCAGCCCCCACTCACTCACCCACTTGCTTGGCCTCCACGGCGGCGGTGTACTCGCGGCTGAAGCTCAGCTCCGTGATGGCCACGTCGTCCAGGATGAGGCTGAAGTCCTTGGCGCGCTCGGTGAGCTCGCGGCGGATCAGCAGGGACACCTGGGGGGATTGGGCGGGACTGGAGAACTGGAAGGAAGGCGGGGAGACCCGTGACCTCGGGAACCACCACGGAGCTGGTTCATGGGAGATCAGAGGCTCAGACTTTCCTGCCCGGGCTGGCCTCGAACTGCGATCCTCAGCTCTCAGCCTCCAGAGTAGCTGGGATGACAGGCCGGAACGGCCAGCCCCGCAGCACTGGGGAGGAAACAGAGGCTCAGACAGCCGGCGACGGGGGTCAGACCTGGGCGCGCTGGGTGATGAGCTGTGAGGCGTTGAACTTGGCCACCACGCTCTTGAGCACCTCGTTGACGATGGACGGCAGCACGCGCTCCTCGTAGTCCAGCCCGAGGCGCTGGTACATGCTGGGCAGCTCCTGGGCGTTGGGCCTGGACAGCACCCGCAGGGAGATGTTCACCATCTGCAGGTCTGAGCAAGAGTCCAGGTCAAGATCAAGCTCGAGCTGCCGGTGTGCGCGTGCGCGCCAGTCCTGGGGCCTGAACTCAGGGCCTGGGCGCCGGCGCTCAGCTCTTTTTGCTCAAGGTGGGCGCTCTACCACTTGAGCCACAGCTCACTGGAAATAAAAGGGTCTCACAGACTGTGCTGCCCGGGCTGGCTTTGAACTGGGATCCTCAGATCTCAGCCTCCTGAGTAGCTGGGGTGACAGGCGGGAGCCCCCTGCCATGATTTCCAAGTACGGCCCCCAGGGGAAGGTAGTGAAGAATGGGGTACGGGTTTCTCCTGGACAAGGTCGGGTGGACGGATCCACAAATCAGACCCGAGAAGCTCTGATCGAGGACAAAGGGAAGGCGAGGGACCCCGGCAGTAACTTCCGCAGTATTCTGCACGTTGGGGCCACACCGCCTGAACCCCCCAGGCCGCCGGACGGAGCCCCGTGGCGGGGCCTCACTTACCTTTGGAGCCCGTGGGTGAGGAGATCTTCCGGGGCCGGGCTCGGATGTCATAGATAATGGGGTACTGGAACCAGGGGATCCTGGGGGACAGGACGGGGGGGGGCACGGGTAGGAAACAAGCCAGTGGCGCTTCCCCGCCCGCAGGCCCCAGGCCCGGCCTGGCTCCCCCCGCGGGGCCCCCGTCGGGGCGATCGCTGGTTCCCCCCGCGGGGCCCCCGTCGGGGCGATCGCTGGTTCCCCCCGCGGGGCCCCCGCCGGGGCGATCGCGGATTCCCCCCCCCGCCCCGCCCCCTTCAGTCCAAACTTCAGCCGCCGGCGGGCGGGGTGAAAGGTCAGGGCCGCGGCGGCGCGGCCGCCATTACCTGAAGTGCAGGCCCTCGGCCAGGATGGTGTCCTGCTGCACGCCGCCGATGCGGTTGAAGAAGATGGCTCTGTGGCCGCCTTCCACTGCGGGGATCGGGGGTGGGGGACAGGGTCAGGGGTCGGGGGTCGGGGGTCGCGGGCGGCCCCCGGCCCCGATCGCGGCCCGCTTACCGGTGAACACCGACTCGCGCACGCCGTAGGCCACGGCGCCGGCCCCCAGCAGCAGCTTGAGCGCCGTGC